GGCCCTCGGGGTCCCCCAGTCCCTGGGGGGGACGTAGCCCTCCGTGTGCCCCATCCCACAGGGACATGGTCCTTGGTGTCCCTTGCAACACAGCCCTTGGCATCCCCCTCCCATGGGGACAGAGCCCTCAGCGTCCCCCAATCCCCCCAACCCTTGTTGTCCCCCGTCACCACACGGGACATGGCTTTTGGCATCCCTCTTCCCACAGGGACAGAGCCCTCGATGTCCCATGTCACCCTAGAGGGCATGGCCCATCCCGTAGGAACCCAGCCCTTGGCATCCCCCATTGCCCTCTGGGGACATGGTCCTCACTGTCCCCCCTCCGGGACATGGTCCTCACTGTCCCCCATCCCACAGGGAGACAGTCCTGTGTGTCCCCCCATGGGGACTATGGCCTTTGGCATCCCATCCTGTAGGGCACAGCCCTTGGTGTGTCCTGTAACCCCATGGGACATCGCCCTCAGCATCCCCCATCTGAAAGGGCACAGTCATTGGTGTACCCCCTCCCACGGGGACACAGCCCTTGGTGTCCCCACCACCCTATGGGATGCAGCGTCCCTCTCCTGCGGGGGCCATCCCCATCACCTCCGCGCGCTTGATGAACTCCTCGGTGGCGGCGGTGGCGTTGTCCCTCTGCCCGCGCCAGGCGCTGAGCGCCGATGCCTGCAGCGCCCGCCCGTACGAGAAGGTGAGGGCCCATGGCCGCACCAGCGGGCACGTGTTGATGGCATTGAGGTTGATGGAAGCCTCCTCCTCACTCTGACCCCCGGACAGGAAGGTGACACCTGCAGAGAGCGGGGTTATGGCACCCGGGGGAAGACAGGGCATCCCCCTCCTGGTCCTGGCCACGTCCTGGTGCCGGTACCTGGCACGGCCGGGGGCACGGTGCGGCGCAGGGCGGTGACAGTGGCCATGGCGATCTCCTCGGGGCTGTACTTGGTGGGGCAGGAGTGCCCGGGGGTCACCATGTTGGGTTTCAGCAGGGTCCCCTCCAGGTAGACGTGGTGGTCGCTCAGTGCCTTGTAGACAGCTGCCAGCACCTGGGGAGGACGGGCAGCGTGGAGTCCCCTGGCACGGCACAGTGCAGCACAGTGCCCGCCCTGCTGCCCACTCCACTGCTCACCTTCTCCGTCACATACTGGCACCGCTTGAGGTCGTGGTCACCATCGGGCAGGATCTCTGGCTCCACGATGGGCACGATGCCGTTCTGCAAACACCAGGCAGATGCTATCACGGGGACATCCCTGGGTATCGCCCCGGCCCCATGGCAATGTGGGCCAATGCCTGGACCTGGGGGGCGATGCTCAGCCCCGAGGTTCAAGGTCCACCCTTGCCGGTGATGCCCATCCCAGTGGGGTGATGCCTGGCCCCATACAGTGATGCCCAGCCCCATGAGCTGATGCCCAGCCTAGGAAGGTCAATTCTTGGCCCCATAGAGGAATGCCCACATTTGTGGGGTGCTGCCCAGCCCCGTGCAGCAGTGCCTGGCCCCATGGATGATGCCCACCCCACGGGGTAATGCCTGGTCCTGGGGATCAATACCCACCCACGTGAGGTGTTACCCAGCCCGTGGGTTGATGTCCACCCCCATGGGGTGATACCCAGATACGGGGGCAATGTTGAGCCCCATGGATCTGTGCCCATCCCTGTGGGGCGATACCTGGCCCCTTAAGTCAACAACAATTCTATGGGTCAATGTCCATCCCATGGGGCGATGCCCGGCCACAGACATGTACCTGCTGGCAGATGCTGGCATAGCGGGCCAGGACGTTGGCGTTCTCCATGATGGCGAGCGCGGAGGGGGTGTTGTCACTGATTTTCAGCACGCAGCGCCACTTGGCGAAGTCGGCCCCATCCTTCTTGTACTGGGCAC